GCAAAGCTCTCTAACATTTAGCTAATTTTGTCATTAACGTGAGCATATCATTTTTAACTTCACACAAAGTTATGACATTAGCGCTTTTGATGTTCCAGATAGGATCCTTAATAAACGGAGATTTTTCAAAGACGTTAACTTTTTTTTGTTGGATTATCTATTAAACCGTACGAACTAAGGTAATTGGTAGCAATGTCATATTCTGTAGACCTGCACCAGAAAGACACATAAGGTCATCCGCATAGCAAATTACAAGTGTGGTTGTCAATTGCTATATTACAATTCTGAATACCTAAATTGTGAACTAGTTCTAAAATATTAAAGATAAAAGGTGATAACAGTCCTCCCTGATGGGTGGCTCCTATAACTTTTACAGATCTATCGATAAAATAATAAAATGCCTTTGACATAGGCAGGACTTCCTTCACTGTAAATTGTTTTAAGTGGCATTATTATATGAGTAGACCTAAATTTTACAAAATTAAAAATAAATGGGGGATAAAAGAATATAAGCTTTGAGTCAGTGCCATTTCCTTCCGGCGATCAAGAAGCGCAATAGACATATTTCGTACCTCATCCCTAAAGCCTCATTTACACTAGACACAATTTGAACACGACAACGACACGATACAGCTGATGCGCACAGTGTTGAAGAATACAAACTACGCGATGTCGTTGTGTCTTAATTGTGTTTAGTGTAAATGGTGCTTAACCATGTATTCCAGGATCCGCCACTGTTTAAAGCCTGCTTTATCCACTGGGCGAATTTATTCGCGCGAATGAAAGCGTCAGTTCGCTTCTTGAGCTCAGATTGGTTGCGCATTTTTTCGTATCGCCCAGTGGAAAACCAGCTTAATGCTGTAGGCCTACTTTGGCGAATCATCTTCTATCATCTTATTGTTGGGATGTGGACAATGGGTAATACTTAAACATGGGTGTCCGACAATATTTTTGCAAAAACTCTTTATACTTTAAATTTCTCAAGCCTTCTATATATTATTACAAGATCAGCCTAATTGTGTCACAAATGAAGGCCGTGAAAGAAAAAGAAATGACTACACCCTCTCCCTCAGAGAGTGGGCTAAATATAGAAAAGCAACAAATCTTATCTGTAGCTTATTAGCAGTAGACGTGACTATAATGCCCTCTATAATACAGTGCATTACTGTAATACGTAATATATTGCTTTACAATAATTATCTAGAATGAGTATTGTTTATAAATATCTAGCGAGCGAAAAAACCTCTCCCTCTAGTTTTAAGAAATTAATTATTAAACAGAAACCTACCTGGAGCTGTAGTCGTAAGGACAGGATAGTTGTAATACGATTGAAATCTGATGAATGAATGATTTTTATAGTGCAAACTTGAAAAAAAAATCACTCGAAAAAAATTCCCTTTTACTCATTAAACCAATGTGCTTTCCGCTTTTTTGTTAACTCCACCCACTTCTTGTGTACGCATGAAAAGCACAAAACACAAAACACGTGTTGAGTCGGTGGTTGCTAGAATACCACGAGGGAAGTAGTAACTCCATGGTGTCGTTATAATTACTACACAGTAATCGATTTCGATTTAGTTCAAGTCAAATTCATATTCACATGTGTGATTACAATTCAAAAAAAAAAAAATCAGAAACAAAGCTTTTAACATGTAACTACCCTTCTAAATAATAAGATAATTAATTCTTTACAGAAAAAAAAACTTAGTCTAATCAAAATACTATCCCTCGCCTGACACGATGCCGGTATTTCCAACTCCAGGTTTCGGCGTCGGAATAAAGATTGCTCTTACAAATGGAATGTTAAACTAGAAGTAATAATGTAAGAGTCAAGAATCGCCTCAGACCCACAATGATTGGGGCTGAGATGAGGAAATTTATTTGTAAAGATCAAATTATACAGTAAATACAATCAGATATTATAGTGCCGGAATAAAGATTGCTCTTACAAATGGAATGTTAAACTAGAAGTAATACGGTATAAGAGTCAAGAACTACCTCAGACCCACAATGATTGGGGCTGAGATGAGGAAATTATATAATGCCCTGGCAACCTTGTGTTATGTAAATATTTTCAATTGTGTCTAAAATTTATTTGTAAAGATCAAATTATACAGTAAATACAATCAGATATTACAGTGTACACTACAAGGCACCATCAGTATTCTTCTCCTTTAGAAGATTTCCATTAGCCATCAGTTCATGGTCTGAGAGAAACGTGCATGAACTCTCACCTGACATAGACGCTCTTATCATCGATCAATTTGGAGAACTTCGGCAACATTAAAATATCATGGTCACTTTTTGTCAGGATCTATAGATTCGCAATGAATCAGACAAATTTCACAATTTAATCATTTTTTAAATTTCTGATATTTCGAGATCTCATATTTATTATGCGTTTTTGAGTCGTAGTCCGAGATGAGAATTAACACCAACAATATACAGTAACTTAATAAACTATGACATGGTTGGTTGGCTTATTAGGTGCGTTAAAGCTTCTTTATGCTATTAGTTAGTTCATGTTGTATAATTCAGGTAACAGATTGATGTTGAGTGCACTACACAAATCTTCTATAATTATAGGGGATTTTCCCGTTCGATTAGAATCGAATCTGTTTTGGACCTGAGATCTAGGAGCTTTTTTGCGAACAGGTCCTTTCTGAAAGTGTATAGTTTTAGTAAGCGTTGCCTAGGTCAAAACTAACTCCGGCTTTTTATACACTAACCCAAAAATCTCACAAAAAAATCAGCTAATCACAGGCAGGCATAATCTGCATAGTAACCAGGATACGAATCCAAATATTGTGCTACATTCTTTAAAATTACTGTACAAAGAAGAACACAGACTAAGACGTACCCCCAGACAATCCCAGGCACAATTATTAGTACTATGTGACAACAATCATGATTTAATATATAACTAGGGAACAGTGATGAATGGTTGTTTACTTGTACATCAGGCGTTTTTAACTTCAAAATATTAAATAATTGATTTGAAGAACTCAGGAAACAGCTAGGTCTAATCCTAAAAGCACATCATCTATTTAAATGCAAACATACTCACTCCAAAACTTTCATAGTTTAGTGCATTCATGCAGGCGTACTCTATCTAGTAGTCAGGTCTAATGACTGTTGAATATTGTTAATGAGTTTGAATACTGTTTTCTTTAGATTACAAAATAAATACAACGTTCCCAGCAAACATAATAAGTTTGTTCATTTGTTTGTTTTTATTTCGAATCCAAATACAAAATACAGAGAGATACAAAAAAGACTGGATTCAGGACGACTCAATTAATTCAAAACATATGGATTAGTTTCCATTGGGGAGGAGGTAAAAATTTACATTATAAGCAAAAAAGAAGAAAAAGCACAAAAAACCAGAAAACATTCACATTTGAAATTAGATAAACTATAGGCACAACTTTGTTAATCTTTCAGGTCATTTAATAGACGCTCTTTAATTTACATTTAAATATGTGCATATTGTAAATTTTCTTTACATACATATAACTTTACCTTACCATATCTTAATAATCAGTGGTGGTGCCATTAGGGGGAAGGATTGGTCGAGGACTAGGCCCCTTTGTCGAGGAGACCTTCCCACTAACATCCAATCGGGAAGGAAATACATAATTGGTTCAAATATTTAGAGGGGGTGGGTTTTCTGAACACTGTCATAACATTTACTTCGAAGGAATTTGACCAATGCATAGATAAAGGTTTATTTTAGGTTTTATATTTTAGAAATATACCATTTGGGTTTTTTTTATAGGGTCTGGGATCAGTCTTAGGTCAGCGTCAGCCCTCCGGGGTTATCATAATAAATACTTCTTTAATGTACTCGTTAATTGTCTAAATATTAGGGGGTAAAGCCTTCTAGCAAATCTGGGTAGAATCTACTGTTATGAGGACACTAGTCCTAGATGCCCAGAGGTGGCAACCTTGTACTTTGTAATAATGTTTTTCATTGTGTTGTATATTGAGTGACTTAGCACTTCAAATTGTGTAAATTTCAACAAAACAAGCATAGAATTTGGTACATAATAATATTCAGGCGAAGCCAGCAACTTACAATAAACGTCGCCGCAATGAAGAAACTGCAACGGGAACTATTCTTTTGTGTTGTTACAAGCACGAGTGATTAAAGAGGAAAAATGAAACTTATACACGTAACGTTATATTACTGTCTTACAGAATAACAATAACATAATAATAATATTATTACTAATTAAGATTAAGAAGAGAATTGTGTATTAAGCTATAATGCGAAATGAATAGTATTATTCTCAAGTAAAATGGAAGAATTTACTGGTAACTAAGAAACTAGTATCTATATAAAATATTAATATTATAATATCCTACAAGCCTATAAACCTACAAATATACGGTATTTATTATTTTGCAATCAGATATTTATCTTTCTATATATATAATTCTAATAGCTAGTTGATTCCCTTTATGTGGGAAAAACACAAAATGAGAAAACTTGCTGAATATTTTTTACATCATGGCCAAAACCAGTCAAACACAGACGGGCATAATAACAGTATGCCTAATAATCAGGGTTTATTACAGTCAGACGTTTGTCACGATTCTAAATGCTGTACAGCAAAAATGAAATTGACAATGTGAGTGCATTTATACAAAGACTGAAAATACTTCACATATATCAGCCAATCTCATGCAGAGGTAATATGCCTACTAACCAAAACTCATGAGTTTCAGATACCGTCATGAGTCTAATAGGCGTACAGCATTCTTATTTACAACCGTAACCATAAACAGACAAAATTTGAAGACAGAAACTGCAATATACATAACCACAGACATGAAAGATGTTCCTAAATGTACCTATTAGGGGTACTCAACGATTTCAGACTTGGGTTCACTTTCAAACGACTGTATTAATGACAAATCGCATAATTATGAGCTTTCGGAAATGATGTTGACTGTTGACGCAAGAGTCAAGCACCACCTCAGACTCACAATAATTTTGGCTCAGATGAGGAAATTATAGATATCCACAAATGAAAACCTTGTATTTTGTAAATTTCCATTGTGTCTAAAAATGTTTTATAGAGATCAAATTATACTGTGGATTAGATTGGATTGAATTGGATTTATTCGATGTAAACACCAAGGATAGCCCAGCAAAAATCTAGAAGAGTTATTTCCAGTGAGGACCTTCTTTTTTTGTTCAGGTGGTGTTTGGCCAGTACGTCGGGAGACAATCCCCTGGGTCAAGCTCACTAATAAGAAGGTTTGCTATCCATAAGGTTCATTATTAAAATGGTTTACTGGTCATTAAAATAAGAGTGAAAGCTAGACATACTCCTGCATTTAAATTTTACGCCCACAAAACGCCTCTCTCTCTGCACTTAGATATGAATACCAAAGTAGAGGTAGTATACACTGCCATGGAACTGCTAAACTAAAAAATGACCCTGACTAAGATTGCCTTGTAAGGTTTTATGGCACAAAATATGACTCAACATGACATTGATACAAAAGAACTAAATCAAGATATTGAAACTGGCAAGAAAGCTGCTGACATAGCTTCCCAGTATGTTGATTGGTTGTTATCAACTGTCAATCCAAACCCACCAGAAATAGACACATGGATTAGGCCCCAAGTACATCCATGCAAGAGGTCTTATAAAGATATTGATAATTCAGAAGTAAGTTCTGATTACATAGATATCTTAAATACTGTTCAACGACATACTCGCTGTAGTACAAATTATTGTCTGCGGGAAAAAAAGCACAATGAATCTGTGTTAAAATGTAGGTTTCACTTTCCATTTGAATATTGTTCACAAACAAAGATAGAATTTGAACAAGTTAACACTATTGGTGATCCACAATAGAGAGCAAAGCTTATCACTAAGAGAAATGATCCCAGACTGAACAACCACCAACAAATACAGCTACAAGGATGGAGAGCAAACTGTGATATTCAAATTGTTATTGATCACTATGCATGTGTTGAATACCTCACAAAATATGCAGCTAAAGGGGAACCAAGGTCACCAGTACTTACACAAGCATTTAATTCCATTGTCCAAATAGTAACAGTGATCCACACAAAGTTATGAAAAAAGTGGTAATGAAAACCCTTGGTCAGAGCATGGTCAGAGAGATTATGCTGCTCAAGAAACAATGCATCATTTATTAGGATTGAAATTATATTCTTCATCATTCAAAGTTATTCCTGTTAGTCTTAATGGCTCCCGTAGAGTACAAATGAATTCATCTCTTGAAAATAGTACTAATAGATGTACAGGCAACTCGCCTCTAGATATTTATGCTATCAATATGACAACTCACCAGCGATACTCAATCTTAACTTTATTGAATTTACAACAAAATACAAAGTTCTCAATGGAAATCT